GACACTGAGTTAGGTCCCAGAATTGAAGGAGCCGTTAAGGAACCGGCAGTTCTGGGGCCTCCGGGACTAGGAACAGGGACCGAAGGTAGCCAGGTGCTCCGTCACCGCTCACTCCTGCTGGTCTCCACCTGGCCTCATCCCCCTGCTGCAGACAGGACTTTTCCTTGGGAAGGGAAATAGCGCCTACAGGAAGGGATCCCTGGGTCTTTCTGTCTACTTCCACTGGGACAAACCCAAGGAGCACTCTGATGGGCTTGCAGCCAATCCCTCTGACCGATACAGGATACTCCTATGGGCCAGAATCTATTATAAGAAGGGGTAGGGCAGCCCCAAACAACAGCTACCTCACCTAACGCAGACCTCACACTGGCTAGGGGCCAGAGATCAAAACGACTAGCAAACAGTCCCTGCGCCCTGAGGAGCTCACAGTCCAGTGAGGCTGTGGGGAGAGAGTGGTCAGTCAGAGCACTGAAGAGACACAGGTGCTGGAGGAGGGACAAGAAAGGCTGACGTTTTCAGAGGTGCTTATGTTCAGGCCCAAAGCACCCCTGCTTCCTGAGCTGAAAGTGGTGGGGAGAGGGGACAAGCGTTTCAAGCAGAGGGAACAGCATGAGCAAAGGCTGGGCAGCATGAGTGAGCTGATGAGGCCAGATGCAGAGAGCATTTAGTCGCAGAGTGCCTTTTCTACTGAGTTGAGGAAGCTGAGCTGCACCAGCGTGCAGTGGGGAGGCCAGATGTGAGGGAACCACCTAGATGGCAGATCCAGGTGCTGGGCAGCGGAAACCACCAATCCAGGCAGGCAGCGAGGTCCAGGCCGAGGCAGCAGCAAGAGGGAGACTGTGGGTGCTGGGCTGGGAGGCAGCACAGAGGGGCTTCAACAGTCACCAGATGCCAGGGGCAGGAGAGGAGTGGTGACTTCCCGGCTTCTGGTTCAGGCATCTGGATGGCGAGATAGGGAGCCAGGAGGAGGATTGGTTTGGAGGAGGCACTGACTTCTCTTGGGGGACAGTTGAGTTTGAGGGAGTTGGAAGGCAGGCCAGTGGGCTTGCACGCCATCAACAGGAGTGAGGCAGGGCGAGTAGGCAGAACCCTGAGGAACCTCATACAGGAGTGGGCAGAGTACGGGAGCCTGTGCTGGAGACTTTGGGGAAGAATGAAGAGAGAGCCGAAACCGGTTTGGCTCAGCGGTGGAGCGTCGGTCTGCGGACTGAAGGGTCCTGGGTTCGATTTTGGTCAAGGGCATTTACATTGGTTGCAGGCACATCCCCTGTCCGGGGTGTGCAGGAGGCAGCTGGTTGATGTTTCTCTCTTATCGACGTTTCTAGCTCTCTATATCTCTCCCTTCCTCTCTGTGAAGAATCAATAAAATATATTTTAAAAAAAAAAAGAATGAAGAGAGAGGTGGGAGGGGGGCCAAGAGGGGGGCAGCCTTGTGGTGGTTGAGAGGGCAGGGGTCAAGGTCACGACCTGCTAGGGAGGGGCCACTCCTTATTTAATCATTAATAACAGGGAGGCAAGGCGTTTGTTCATATTCTTTTAAATAGACTTTGTTTTATATTTTATTCGTGTTTTTTAAAATATATTTTTATTGATTTCAGAGAGGAAGGGAAATGAAGAGCAAGAGAGAAACATCAATGATGAGAGGGAATCATTGATCAGCTGCCTCCTGCACGCCCCCTACTGGGGACCAAGGCCACAACCCGGGCAAGAGAGCTCTTGACCAGAATCGAACCCAGGACCCTTGAGTCTGCAGGCCAGCACTCTATCCACTGAGCCAAACCGTCCAGGACTATTTTATTCATTTTTAATAGTAGATTTTTTAAAAATCACCTGGAACTAAAATTTTCCTTAGAAGAATCCTCTGTGTTGGGAAGTCATTTCTTGCCAAAAATACTTTTGTAATATCTTTCTTTGAAAGATCAAGAAGTTACTAAGTGCAAACAATCAACCCTGACCTTGCTAGGAGGTCAGTGGTTTCCACATTTGTCTTTCAAGTGGCATCAGGCGCGGTGGTACATGGAGGTGTCGGTGAGCATCACAGGACGGTGGGGGCGCTGTTTCACACCAGTCAGGCAGGATGCTCTGCCCAGCCTGGCAGTGGCTCCGCGCTCTGGGACCCTCCCTGGGGCTCCTCCTGCAGGGTCCTGCCCAGAGGAGGCTGCCGGCTCCACACAGCAGTGAGAGAGGTTAGGACCGGACCTCAGGACAGACAGGCCGGGTCCCGAGACAGACAGGCATAGTCAGTGCGGCTGGGCCCACCAGTTCCTCAGGGCGCCCGCCCCGGGCCCAGGTGGGGTTGCCCAACACGTGGCCTCCCAGGATGGCGAGGCCTGACGGGACTGTGAGTCACGCCTGGCGAGCCGGCTCCAGGGCAACGCCCGCCGGTCCCTGGGGCTTCCCCTGCCAGGCCGGGTCCTGCTCCCGTGGGGTGCTGCCAGGGTGTCTTGGGATGCACTGGGAGTGAGGGGGATGCGGGAGTGCTTCAGGCCAGGACTTTGGAGCTAGCAGGAACGGGCCGGTCTGCTGTCTGTCCTCCTCTCAGGCCACTGATCCTTTCATCCAGCCCTGACACAGCCACTGCCACCTGGAGTTGGGGAAGGGCCTCACTCAAAGGTACCCTCCCCTCCGCAGCCTAGGACCCTGTCCTCCCTGCACCTCTGTCCTCCACACACGCCCTCCAGTGCGCTTTTCCAATATTATCAACGCTATTCAGCTACTTTAGGACAATCCCCACAATGCCTGCGTAGGAAGACACTGTTTTACAGGTAAGGAGAATGAAACTCAGATAGGTGAAGTAGCCTGGCCAAAGGTCACACAGCAAGTCACGAGCAAAGCCAGAAATGCAAAGTCATGTGATGCCTCCAGGCAGCTCCGCTCCTGGTCACACCCTCTGAGGGGCCATTACTCAGAAAGCACCAGCTGCTTACGCCACAATTCTGGACCCAGCCTGTGACTTTGCATTTGATTTGCATAAGGATGTCACAAATACATAGACAGCCCCCCTTCTTTCTCCTTTTTTTCTCTGTCTCACTCACACATACACACAAAGCCAGACTCTTTCTCCTCGAGATGCCTGGCTGGCTGGGGAGCGCCATCTGGTCTCCTCCAACTGCCAAGGAAACCTTTGCTGGTTCAGAGTGTTCCTTCCCACCGTCCCCACTCAGGGCCCCAGGTCAGGGAGCAGAGCTGAGGGGAGCCTCCTGGAGGAGATGCTGTGTGCTGGGCAGCCCCTTTTTGGTCCACAGTCTCAGGGCAGGGGGGCAGGAGTGCGCAAATGGAGGGAGGGTTCCCCAGCCCCAGATACATCCTCTGCCTTCTGTCTTCAGCCCCAGATTTAGCTGCCTTTTCACCTCCCACCACTTCCTGCTGCCATCTGGAAGGCTGGGAGGCTGGAGAACTAGAAGGGAGACTGGAGTGGGGATTGAAGGGAGGAGGAAAAGAATGTGCTGGCACCCTGGACAGAGAGTGGGGTCCAGTGGGGCAGCCCCTCTCCTTCCTCTCTCAGCAGCACTGTCTGCAACAGTAGCCACCAGCTACTTCCAATTTAGAAGGAAACCGAAACTCCGATATGAAAAGATAAATATAAAATATCTCAATAATTTTTATATAGATGACATATTTAAACGATAATATTTTGGACATCTTGGGTTAAATATAAAATTAACTTCACCTGTTTCTCTCTGCCTTTTTAATGTGGCAACTAAAAAAATGTAAAGTAGTATATGTAGCTTGCATTACATTTATTGGCCAGTGCTAGTCTCAACCCATCCTCCAGGCCAGGAAGTTGCTGTTCTGTAAATTAGGGATGTCGAACTCAATCAGAGAAGGAGCCAAAATCTAAAATCCAGCCTAAATCACGGGCCGAATGGTTTACTGAACAGTCATAAACTGTCATTGTGATGGAAACACAGCGGAGTGCAGTGATGACAGCGCGGTGCGGGCCACATTGCAAGGCCTGGCGGGACGGATTTGGCCCGCGGGCCTTGTGTTTGACACATGTGCTGTAAATACTTAAGGGAGCTGTTTTGAACTAAATGCTTCTTTATTATACCTCGTCTTTTGGCAATTCATACGTGCCCCCCTCCCTCACCCTCAGAGAGGCAGTACCATGTAGGGGCAAGAATGTGAACTTGAAAAAAAAATAATTTTTTTAAAAGAATGTGAACTTGACAGACCAAGTTTAGGTCCTTTCTTGTTTGTTTTTAAATATGTTTTCACTGGTTTTAGAGAGAGAAGAAGGGAAAAGGAGAAAAAAGAAACATCAATGCGAGAGAGAAATATCCATCTGGCCAATGACCTTTTGGTGCATAGGATGATGCTCTCAATCAGCCAGGGCACATCTTGCTATTTTTAAGCTGTGTGACATTGGGCGAGTCAGTTAACCTCTCTGTGTTTTAGTTTCATGTCAGAAAAATGGGGATAATACCAGTGCTTATCTCAAAAGGGCTCTTGCAAGGATTATGTGAGTTAATATGCACACCAAGAAGAGGGTCCAGAATACAGCAACTGCTTGTGACGGCCATATAGTTATCCTTGTGTAAAATATGGGCTGTTCCTTGCCACAGTTCCATGTGACGACATACACTATGCCTCTTTGGGTACATTCCCTCCTCCCAATCGTCTTATTGGTAACTGTTATCCTCATTTCACAGAGGAGGCATCTGAAACTCAGAGAGGATTAGTAACTTGCCCAAAGCCACACAACTAGTCAGTGGGTTTGCACTCCTCCGAAGACTGACCCTTAAGAACCACTCTGTGGCCGGAAGCGGTTTGGCTCAGTGGATAGAGCGTCGGCCTGCGGACTGAAAGGTCCCGGGTTAGATTCCGGTCAAGGGTATGTACATTGGTTGCGGGCACATCCCCAGTGCGGGGTGTGCAGGAGGCAGCTGGTCGATGTTTCTCTCTCATTGATGTTTCTAGCTTTCTATTCCTCTCCCTTCCTCTCTGAAAAAGTCAATAAAATATAATTAAAAAAATAAAATAAAAAAGAACCACTCTGTGTTCTCTCTCTCAATAAATGTCCACCAAGACCCTCCAAAGTAACACCTCTACCCCCTCCTCTGGCTCCAGGTTCCCACCAGCATCAAAGACCTGCCAGTCTGAGAAACTTCCTGTCACAAGGCCATCCCCACGAGGTCACCTGCCTCTGGGTTGCCAGTCATCAGCATGCAGGACGGCCTTACTTCAACCTTGACTCACGCTGCAGCCCAGCCCATGAGCGGAGGCTCGAGGTTCATGAGGAGCTTTCTAAACTCGAAGTTCAGGGGTCCGAATTATGGAGCCAATGTGCATTTGATGCGCAGGATCATCGCTGAGGATGCCGAGTGGTCACTGGCCATCGTCCCCCTGCTCACAGATCTCTGCATCCAGCACATTGTCAAGAACTTCCGGAGTGAGTCTGTTCCTGCCAGGAGCAGGAGGAGCCAGCCAGGAGCAGGGTGGATGGGGACAGCCTCGAGGAAAGGCCTCGGAGGCTGGGTCCTGGGAAGCCCCTCGCCCCCACACGGAATCCTCATCCCCATTCGACACTTCCCTTTGACCCCTGCAGCCAGGACAGTGCCTCCTGCTATCCCCGCTCCCAGGCCCCACTAGACTCCTACCCACCACAGGCCCTTCATGCCTATGCCCTCTCCCCACCAGCCCACCCCTCAGGGACCTCCTCCTCCACAAAGCCCTCCCTAGCTGACTGACCCTAGTCCATGCTCTCCGAGTCTTCCGTGGTGTGTACAGGTTCTTGGTTTTTTTCTGCCCTCTGTGCACTGTAGGTGCTCATCCTTTTCAAAGACAAGTTGGATGGGAAGCTCGCTGAGGACAGGGCCATCTTTTTCTTTTTCTTTTTCTTTTTCTTTTCTTTTTTCTTTTTTTAAATAAAGGAATTCTTTTTTAAAAAATATATTTTTATTGTTTTTTTACAGAAAGGAAGAGAGAGGGATAGAGAGTTAGAAACATCGATGAGAGAGAGACATCGATCAGCTGCCCCTTGCACACCCCCCACTGGGGATGTGCCTGCAACCAAGGTTCATGTCCTTGACCGGAATCGAACCTGAGACCTTTCAGTCTGCAGGCCGATGCTCCATCCACTGAGCCAAACCAGTTCTGGCAGGGCCATCTTTTTTTCTACAGTGTCTAACACTTCCTGGCCCACAATATATTCCTTTGACTTGTTTATTGTTTGCCTCCCTTCACAAAAAGAAGCGGCTTCTTCTGTTTCACTCATTCTTGAATCCTCAGCAGTTAGAATTGTGTGGCACATAGTAGATGCTCAAAATTTTATTTTATTTTATTTTATTTTTTAAAATATATTTTATTGATATTTCATGGAGAGGAGGAAGGGAGAGAGATAGAGAGATAGAAACGTCGATGAGAGAGAAACATCAACCAGCTGCCTCTTGCAAACCCCTCACTGGGGATGTGCCCACAACCAATATACATGCCCTTGACCAGCATCGAACCTGGGACCTTTCAATCCACAGACCAATGCTCTACCCCTGAGCCAAACCGGCTTCGGCTATTTTATTTTATTTTGAAAGAGAGGGCTAAGGCACTGCTTGGCTTGAGAAACCAAACATCCCCATTTGCCTGCCTCCTTAGGCTTTTATTGTAACAACAGCTCGAACTAAACTGAACTGTTAGATACTATGAGAGTCCGGTGAGACCCTTGAGAAGACACATGAGTCTGCAGTGTCCTTTAAGCAAGGACATCTGAAGACTAAGCATAAAGACGCCAGTAAACACCAGGGCTGAGACTTGTTTGGGAAAGCCAAGGCAAGGGCGCTTGTCTTCAGCCAACTCCTGTCCCGTGCCTCCCCACACCTCCCTGCTTTGTTTTGCTGGGTGCAGAAGACAGAGGGAGGTGGTGCGCTTTCTGCTTTGAAATATCAGGGTCCGCGAAGTGAGTTCACTGCTCTAGTTCCAATTTTACAAATCAGCCGCCATTTTTAATCCTTTAAAAATTAAAAAAAAAAATATTTAATGAATGAATCAAATCACATTGGGAGCCTCTGAAGTCAGGGATTGTCTCCTCCATCAGACTAAGTGATGACTGAGGGCTGGACCTGAGATTCTTCCTCAGACTGGCAGCTAGCTCCCTGAGGCCAGATGCTATGATGTCAACTTTCAGGGAAGGCAGGCCCCCAAAGCCAGGGGCTGTGTCTTCCCCTCAGATGGAAGTCTCCCTGAGAGTAAAATCTGCCTTTCCTCCCCCCCCTCCACCTCCCCCTCCTCCCTGAGGGCAGGGAGGGTTCCCTTGCCACAGTGCCCCCAGGCAGGCCCAGCCCAGGGCCCCCACGGATGGTGACCCCAACACGGGATGACTCCTGCTTCCCTTCCTCGGTCCCCCAAAGACAACCCGATCCTGAAGCAGCTGCTCCCGGAGCACCAGCAGAAGGTCCTGCGCCAGCTGCCCCCGGACCTGCCACTGGCCGTGACCGCCAACCTGATCGACGACGAGAACTACTGGCAGCGCTGCTGCGAGCAGCGCTGGCCCGTGTGCCACCTGGACTGCCACGGCGGCAGCTGGAAGCGCGTGTTCTTCGAGCGGCACCTGGAGAACCTGATCAAGCACTTCATCCCGGACACCACGGACCCCGCCGTGATCCTGGACCTGCTGCCGCTCTGCAGGAACTACGTGCGCCGGCTCCGCGTGGACCAGTTCCTGCCGCCCGTGCAGATGCCGCCAACGCCGCACGACGGGGACCAGTCGGAGTCGGGCAGCGAGGGGGAGATGGAGGAGGCCTCCATGGACCACTACCAGCTCGGGGAGCTGGTGGCCGGCCTGAGCCAGCTGGAGGAGCTGGACCTGGTGTTCGGCATCAAGGACTGCGGCATGAACTTCGAGTGGAACTTCTTTCTCTTCACTTACCGCGACTGCCACTCCCTGGCGGCGACCATTAAGGCCTGCCACACCCTTAAGGTGCCATCTGCCCTCCCCCCTAGCCTTCCCCCATTTCCTCAGCATCTCTCTGACCCCCCTCTCACCGTCTGGGCCTCAGCTATCATCGTTTCCTCTGATCCTTTTTTTTTTTTTTTAATATATTTTATTTATTTATTTATTTATTTATTTTTTACAGAAAGGAAGGGAGAGAGATAGAGAGTTAGAAACATCGATGAGAGAGAATCATCGATCAACTGTCTCTTGCACACCCCTTACTGGGGATGTGCCCACAACCAAGGTACATGCCCTTGACCAGAATCGAACCTGGGACCTTTCAGTCTGCAAGCTGACGCTCTATCCACTGAGCCAAACCGGTTTCGGCCCTCGGATCCTTTTCTTAGTCACAAACCGAGTGTCCTTTTATGCACCCCTGCACCCAGCTGGGTGCTGGGGATGCAGAGATGAGCCAGGCACTGCCCTCCCAGTTCACCAGCTATTTATTCCTTTGACAAACATCTGCGCTCCGGGCCCTGTCCTCGGTGCTGAAGATTCCGCTCGGAGCAAAATCATACCATCTGTGCCCTCTAGAGTTAACTGCCTAGTGCGGTGAAAGACACTCATCAGCAATCATGTGAATGTAAAACTGCAACTAGGATATTTGCCAGATTTAGAAAAAATAAAACTCTACAAAAAAAAAAGGGGGGGGGGGCGGGGCATCCAGTTACATTTGAATTCCAGAGATATATTGAATGATATTTTAGTATGTATAGGTCCCAAATATTCTAGTTGGAAGAGGGAGAGCCTGCCAGGAAATCAGCGAAGGAAGAAAAGGGGACACCGCATTGTGTCACCAAGCCAAGAGAGTTTTGGCTCAGTGGATAGAGTGTCGGCCTGCGGACTGAGGGGTCCCGGGTTTGATTCCTGTCAAGGGCACATGCCCTGGTTGCAGGCTCAATCCCAAGTAGGAGGGTGCAGGAGGCAGCCAATCAATGATTCTCTCTTATCATTGATGTTTCTATCTCTCCCTCTCCCTTCCTCTCTGAAATCAATAAAAAAAATATTTTTTTTAAACAAAGAAAGAAGAGAGGGTGACCAGCAATGGGGTGGAGTGGAGCTGAGGATTGGACTTAGCAAATGTGGAGGTTACTTGGGGGAGGGAGTAGCTCTGTCGGTGGAGTGCCAGGAGCAGAGGCCAGATCGGAGTGCTGGAGTGGTTTACGGAGAGAGTGGGAAGTGAGGAAACGGGATGTCTGTGATTAACTCCTTCAAGAACTTGGCTGTGAAAGGGGAGGAAGTGGAGTAGAAATAGATGCGGGGGGTGGGTTTTCTTTAAGAAGAAGCTTGCGAGTGTTTAAAACCAATGGAAAGTTCCATCCAATTGCAAGAAATGGGTTGAGTCCAGGACAGAGGGTACTGGTTCATTGACCACGGAAGGTTCCTGAGAAGGCAGGAGGGTGGGATCCAGGACAGAGCTGGGCAGTTGGCTCTGGCCTGAGGGAAGAGCAGGTGTGGTGGCATGTTGTGTTGGGTATAGGAAGATGAGGGCTTCCCATTCAATGGCTGAGAGGCAGGAGGACATCTACCTGCCGGGAGGAGGCTTTAGGGTGAGCCCTGAAGTTTGAGGAGGCTGGAGAAGGTTGAAAGCGTTGTAGGTTATGAGAGGATATGTTGGCCAGAGAAACAGAGTTGAGTGAGCACACAGCATTGAGGGCTATTGGTGGGTCCAGCGAAACCAGCCAGTTCTGTCACGGGACATTTCCCATCATGTCAGTTGCCTGGGCACAGACATACAGAAAATAAGAGAGTGGGCTGGACCCACGCTTGGAGCTTTGCAAGGTAGATCAATGAAAAGGTGAGAAACAAAAGACTCTAAGCTGGCTCAGAGGGGTAGAAAGAAAGAAGAGGACTAATGGATAGGGAGGGAGTGAACAGGCCAGCCATTCTGAGGTCTCAAATAAGAGGGAGGAACAAGTCAGTGAGAAGGAAAGAGATGGAGGCTCTCTTCTTCCATATTCATAATGCTAATCCTACACCCTTTCTTTTATCTTTTTACTTCATCTCGTCCATTTTCTGGTTCTCACCGCCCCCCCACCCCTCACTTTCTCCTGGTTCTTACCCTGAGTTCCTCTCCTTGCTATGGTGGAGCTTAGCCAGCTGAGTAGGGTCCCGCAAGGGGCTGCTGGGTCAAACAGGCCTGGATTCAAAACCTGCCTCCACAGCTCAATCACCGTGTAACTGGGCAAATGGATATGTCCACCCTATGCCTCCATTTTCTGCCTGTAAAGTGGAGAGAACTCATTCTGCCTCACTGGGATGCTGAGGTGGGGGTGAGAATGGTTATGGCATGTTCTAGCAGCATGCGCGGCACATAGCAATTTCTCAAGAAATGGTAGCCTTTTCCCCCTACTACCTGCCAGCAATTGAGCACCACTCTGCCGTGTTAGGTAGGCCCGCCAGGTAGCCAATCCAAGGTGAGCAGAACATCAGGCCTCCCCATGGCTCCCTCTTCTACCTGCAGAAGGTAGGCAGGTAGGCAGATTATCCCTGGCTACCAGGTGCTATGGACCTTTTACCTGTCCACAGATCTTCAGGCTGACCCGAAGCAAAGTGGATGACACCAAGGCACGCATCCTCATTCGCAGCCTCCTGGACCACCCGGCTCTTGAGAAGCTGGACCTGTCACACAACTGCATCGGGGACCGTGGTGCCCGTGCGGCCGCCAAGCTGCTGAGCCACAGCCACCTGCGCGTCCTCAACCTGGCCAACAACCAAGTGCGGGCGCCCGGGGCCCAGTCGCTGGCTCACGCCCTGGCACACAACACCAGCCTCCTCTCCCTCAACCTGCGCCTCAACTGCATCGAGGATGAGGGCGGCCAGGCCCTGGCCCACGCCTTGCAGACCAATAAGTGCCTCACCACGCTGCACCTCGGTGGCAACGAGCTGTCTGAGCCCACGGCTACCCTCCTCTCCCAGGTGCTCTCCGTCAACACCACCCTCACCAAAATCAACCTGTCCTGCAACCACATAGGACTGGTGAGCCACAGCCCCCGGGGGAGGCAGGGCCAAGGAGAGGCCCTGGGCCTTGGGGGTGAGGGATAGAATCCAGCTGTCCTGGGGTACTCACATGAAGTGATTGTGAAGATCACAGCCTTACCTAGTTCAAATTCCAGCCCTTCCTTTTAGCCTCCATTTTCTCATCTGTAAAATGGGAATAATAACAGTATCTACCACAAAGCGTACTAGGAGGATGAAATTGGTTATATGTAGATTAACCATTGCAGACCCCGGCTAGGTCTTTAGTAATTGCTATCTGTTACTCAGGATTATGGACTATGCTTGGTGTCCAACATCCATTGTCTTCCTTTCGTCCTCACGGTTACCCGGTAAAATGTGCATTCTCAACCTCACTTTACAGATGGAAAATTGAGTCTCAGAGACATTAGTGAGTTGCCTGAGAGCAACCAATCAGTAGGAGGTGGCAAAGCTGTGATTAAACCCAGGACTGATCCAAAGCTGGGGTTCTTTCCAATAGACAAATGTCTCTCTGATTTCCTTAATCAAGTCTCAGAGTGAGAAACGCAATATATCTGAACAGCTGGTGAACATACACAAGAATATAATATAATTGAAATGTATTATACTGTTACTGATTGGTATATCTGCTGATGTTTTCCTTTATCGTCTACCTCGTTTTTGTTGTTGTTATAAATGCTTCTGTGTTACATTGACTTTGCAGCAAACACACTATTGGGTCACAACCATAGAACAGCAGCATTCTGCCTCCCAACATGAAATTCTTTCACATTGGGCCCAGCCCACCCACCCCCGATGGGGGAAGGGGTAGCTCTGTCAGTGAAGGGCCAGGGGCAGGGAGGAGTAGTGAAGAGGGTCCTCTGTGTACTCCTCTTAGGGCCCTGCATCTTCTACCATCCCCCTCAAGGAACAGTCTTGCTCACACTCACTGTCTCTAGGGGAGTGCTCTTGGCTGCAAGTAACAGAGACCGTAGGCAGCAATTGGCTTAAACAAGAGGAACATGCATTATGTCCCATTTCAGAAGCCTCAAGGTTGGGGGTCCTGGGGTTGGAAATCCCTTGGCTGGGTGCCAGCCCCTGCTCTGCCATCCCAGCCGCATGCCGTGGCCTCTCTGGTGGCCTCTCAGTGGCCTCAGGGTGGCTGCTGCAGCTCACAGACGGCAGAACGGAGCAGAAAACGTCAGCGTGCTGCACAAATACGCCAGGTTCTGTTCTGTGAAACTTCTGTTCAGTCACATCTCTCTATAAATATGCATATGAGTGTGTGTGATCCTGGGCAGTGATGTAAAAATATGACCCTTACTCTGTGCTTCTTTCCCAGGATGGCGGGAAGCAGCTCCTGGAAGGCATGTCAGACAACAAGACCCTCCTGGAGTTTGACCTGCGCCTGTCCGATGTCGCCCAGGAGAGCGAGTACCTCATTGGCCAGGCCCTCTGTGCCAACCGTGAAGAAGCCCGCCAGCGGACCTTGAATGTCAGCCACTCAACGGCACCACTCACTGCCAAGGGCCCTGAGAACCCTGCAGGATAGGCTAGGGGACAGGGCTGGGGTAGTAACCACACCTGGGTCACTGCCCCACCCCCACCCTACAGTTCATGCCCCATGATGCCTGCTGCAGAGTGGCACACTGGTCCACAGGGAGTGGGGGAGATCACGAAGATCCTGGGTGTAATCTAAGGTTGAGTGCATGTATATATAATGTTTCCTATTAGGATTATAATTTCCAGGATGTAAGCTCCCCATTCTATATAGAATAATAAATTTTCATCAAGAATCTGAACAGTGCCCAGCCAGTATTGCTCAGTGGTTAAGCATCGATTCCTGGTCAGGCCACATGCCAAGGTTGTGTGTGTTCGATTCCCAGTGTGGAGTGTGTGGGAGGCAGCTGATGAATGCTTCTCATCATTGACGTTTCAATCTCTCTCTCCCTCTCCCTTCCTCTCTGAAATCAATTAAAAAAAATTTTTAAAGGGTTGAGTACACAATGATGTGAGGAGGGGAACAGACCAAGGTTATTAAATAGGACCCAGACCACAACCCAGGGAGATATTACTAGAACCCCTGAAATAAATTACTTCTTGCAGGTATAAGGAGAGGCAGAGAGAACTCTGAGGGACTGTGCCTGCCAAGACTCCCCATGGGGCCACCCGTGAACCTGACCCTCATCCCCACATCTTCCTCTTCACTCAACATATCTTTGACCTTTTAACCTTCTCCAACTCCCCACCCCCCTTTCTCCCTGTCCTAAATCCTGCTACAACAGAACTTTGGCCTGGCTCTTCCATCCTCACCCCTGCAGATCCCACCTCCCAATTATTAGACTCTGCTTAAGTAACCCACTCCACAGGCCATGACACCCCCTAACCTTCCCCACAACCTGGAAATGAGGAAACAGAGGTGACAGGAGGGACTCAACTGGGCCTCCCCAGAGAGCTTCTCATGGGGGAGGGAGATGGCGGGGGAAGTGCCACGCTGGGAAGGGGAGTCAGTGAGTCATCCGAAACTTTATTGTCCACCAGTTTGATTTGTACAGTCTTTGCGCTTGGAAATCCATGACAGAAAGGCCACAGTGTGATGCACCCAATTGACAGAGGCCTGTCTTCCCAGCCAGGCTCAGCCCACCTCACAAGCCCTTGTGCCCAGGACACACGGAGCCTTCCAGATGACCTCCAGGAGTCCCCATCACCCTGCAGCTGCCCACCCTGGAGCCACACCCACAGAAACCACGTCCACCCAGGGGCCCACGAGGGGACCTGACCGATGGCTTCAGGCTGAGCCCCATCTCCCATCCTCCTCGGGCTGAGGGACTCCAGAACCTTCGGATCTGTTTTCAAAGGGAGGGCCCTGGGCTGCAACCACAGCCTGGGGGTGCCTGCTCTCTGGGCACTCCTTCCAGCAAGCAGGCGCTGAGCAGAGCACCAAAGGGGGCTTGGGAGTGACTGCACATGTGTGCCTGCCCGGGCAACCTAGAGTCTGCCTGTGCCTGACACCCTCTGACAGTTCCCGAGTGCAAACGCGTAGGGGTGAGGGTGAGTGTGTGTGTGTGTGTGTGTGTGTGTATATAGCCACAGCTGCTAGCAGAGGTTCTAATTAGAGAAACAAGAACATTCAGTGTAAGGTTTAATTTTAGAGATTAATTAATTTTCTGGTTTTCCTTTTCCCTGGCAATCAATAAAGCTACCACGGAAAGAGACCAAAAAGAATCGGTTTCTAAGTCTGTGCGTGAGGCCGTCTGTGTGAGACCTGGGCAGAAATGGTCAATACAGGCAAAAGTAATAGCCCCCCCCCCCTCGTTCCCACCTCCCAGCTTTGACTCAGTCTCAGGAGCCTGAGGGAGGAGGAGCTGGGTTCCTCCCACCTCGGAGCCAGGAGGTGGCCAGGCTGCCGCCACACAAGGGCAAGACGTGCCAGCTGGCCAAGAACTGGGGCCTGAGGCCACAGCTCACCATCTGCACCTCACAGATGTCCACTCAGAGGAAAAAGGGGTGCTCCCACCGCCGGGCCCCCGAGGAGCACAGACTCAGGGTCCGGGCAGGTTCAGTGCTGGCCGGCAGGTAGGGAATTATCACGGCAGCCGTCCCCTCCTGCCAGGCCTCCCCTCCGGCCTCCTCTCCCTCCCCATTCAGTCATCGCCACAGGAACATAAAGCTCAGCCGCAGTGGGCCACAAACTGGGGTGGCCCCACAATCTGTGCCTCCCACGTTCCCCCCAGAAAGGGAGGGCGGGGGAGCCAGAGATGTTGCATAGGTGGAGGCCATGCCTTGGAGGCTGCAGAAGGGGAAGCAGAAGCTCCGAGCGTCAGGGGTGAGCAATGTCAGGCGGCCCAAGGCTTATCCTCTCTGGCTTGAAATATGAGCTCCATCCCTAGGCTCTAAGTCTGCTGTGAAAACTTTAGCCTAGAGAGCTGGGGGGCGGGGGGGGGGGGGGGGGGGAGGCAGTAGGAGGTTGTACACAGACATGCACACTGAAGCACATGGGGTGGGGATGTGGGGAGTGGAGACGACATCAGAACTCTAGGGGAACCAGATTGGGGCCAGGGCCCTATGGCGGTGATGACAGGACGCGCCTCTGAAGAACCTGGGACACAGCAGGGCTTCTTGAGCTCACATAGGAGGGGAGGGTGGAGGGGGGTGGGCAAGATTTAGAGAATCCCTGGCTCTGACCTGCCATGGGGATTGAGTGTTTCTCCACTTGGGACTTGGGACAATGTCCTCAGCCCTGCAGAGGCAATGTGTGGGCACCCCCAAAGACACACCCTTCCTTGGAGGTCCTTTCACTCCCATCTGCTTCCAGAGCGCCCCCATCACTCAGCTCCATCTCCCTGTCTCCCCGCTCAGCTCAGCTCAGTCGTTCACCTTGTCTTCCTTTTCCCTGGCAATGTCATTGGGCTTTACAGAACGCTGCTTGGGCGGGATCTCACCCTCTCTGCAGGGAGTGTCCTCCCAGAAGCCAGGGGAGGAGGCTGCTGCCCAGAGGCCTCAGAAAGGACCAAGGGGCACTGTCCTGCCCCTGGCCCCTGGCAACAGTTCTCAGCGCCAGGGAGCAAGAGGGGAGGAACGAGAATGATATCTGGACCCAAACTCCAGGACCCAGTGAAATAAACAACCGTGGTGAGAGCATCAGAAAGGGAACCCCCGTCTCTGGGGCACATGCCAAGAGGAGGGTAGCAACATGTCCACGGTTTTGAGATGGAGTATTTACTGGCTTTGAGATGGAGTATTGGCTTTGAGATGGAGTACTGGCTTTGAGATGGAGCATTGGCTTTGAGATGGAGTATTGGTTTTGAGATGGGGGCTGACACCTGGCCGGGCCTCAGACCCACGGAATCCATTAGCTGGTTGGAAGCCAGCCGGGCTGTTCACCAAACCACGGCCTCTCAGCAGAGAGTGGCCCTGGGGAGCCAGGCAGCGAAGGAAGGAGAGCCCAAATTTGCCCTTCCTCGCAGCCCCTGGGCCTCCCTGGCTGCACAGCCGATGCCTCTCACTTGAGATGAGGCCCGGTGCAGGCCCCACAGCACAGCGGCCACCTAACAGTCAGATGGTTGAAGGGCTGGGCGGGAATCTGGATGGATTGCCTCTGGGGAGGAAGGGGTCCCCTTCGGAACTCGGGGGCGGGGCTGGAAAGAGCCGGCTCCGCCCCAGTGGCAACCTCCAGGAACAGCCGGCCCCTCCCACCCATCTTTCCCCGTTCTGTACAGGAAAGGCGGGGGTGTCAGCCCCATGGGTCTGTCCCGCTCACCCTGGCCTCCCTGCACCGCCCTCCGTGCTCAGCACAGCCTGTCATCACCGAGACCCCCGGCTACAGACAGGGGCCGCGGGGAGGCCGGCGGGCTTCTGGAGAGCCGGCGGTCACAGTGAGGTCTCCACGCAGGAGCCGTGGCGGTGCAGCGGCCGGTGGCTGTGGCCCAGGCACCCCTCCTGCCGGTGCACGATGAGGACCGGGAAGTAGAGGGCGTCGTGGTAGGGCGGCGGCGGCCCGGCCTCCTCCTCGTCGTCGTCGTCCTCGTCGTCCCCCATGCTGGCCTGGCTGGACAGCCGCGTCTGCTCGGTGGGGCAGCTCGCCTCGTTGACGCTCCCGCTGCGGCTGCGCCACAGGCAGCTGCGCCGCGAGCCGTAGAGGCGGCCGAGCGAGAAGCGGCTGCCCCCGCAGCCCGGCCCTGCGCCGGGGCCGGGGCCCGGGCCGGCCCGCGGGCTGGCGCAGATGCTCAGCGCGCTGCGCGAGAAGATGGACGAGCTGCTGACGGCGCGCTGGCAGTGCTCGCAGCTGCGCCGGTAGGGCGCCACGCCCGCCGCGCCCGGGCCGCCCACCCCGCCGTAGCGGCAGGTGGGCGCGTAGCCGCCGCCCCCGGCCCCGGCGCCGCCGCGCGCCGCCAGCCCCGCCAGGTCCATGAGCACCGCCTCCGAGTAGCTGGGCACGAGCTGCTGGTTGGAGCGGATGTGCCACTCGAGCTCCGTGCTGTCCACCGTGTTGACCCGCGGCAGGCGGTGCGTGAGCGGCGGCAGCAGCTCGTCGCTGGGGCTCAGGCCGCCGCCGCCCGCGCTGCCGGCCGAGCCCGGGCCCTCCAGGCCGAAGAGCTTCTCCACGTGGTAGTGCGCGTAGGCCGTGCGGTACTCCGCCAGCACGCGCAGCGGCCACGACAGCGTCAGCAGCGCCGCGGCCCAGAAGGCCGAGGAGCAGGCGTACCAGGGCGGCCGCGCGGGGTCCGGGAAGGCCACCATGAACTCGCGGAAGTCCACGTTCTTGAGGTGCATGCCCTCGCGCGCCTCCATGTAGTCGTCCAGGCCCTCGTTCTCGGCGAAGAAGCGCGCGCGCTGGCACAGGTAGGCGTTCTCGGCCTCCACGCTGGCGAAGCTGAAGCACTTGGTGAAGCGCAGGCGCGTGGCGGGCGCGCCCTCCAGCCCCACCAGCGCCTTGGACACGTCGCGGACGCCGCAGCGCGCGTAGTCGAACTCGGCCTCCGCCACGTGCGTGTTGACTCGCTCGTGATAGACCTGGGGGCGCCGCAGGCGGGGAAGGAGGCGGGAGTCACTTTTCTGCTCTGCCTCCCCCCCCCCCTCAGCCCCCCCATCACTGCTCTGGTGGCCTGGTCAGACCCTAAGCCTGTCCAGGTTTTGATCCCGGTTGGAGCCGGGTAGGACCTTCGCATGCGTTTTACAGAGAAACGGAGGCCCTCCGTGTAATTGTGAGTTAGAGACGAGGGCAGGCATCAACCTCATCTCTGCCAGTGTGCGTTCTAATTTTAATTTGACTCTGCTTCCTTTGGCGGTCACGCCCTGGCCTCCAGCTTGCCCGGCCCTTTTGCCTGTTTGCATCGTCCCACGCTGTCCCCTCCTCATCACAGCCCCCCTGTCCTCCCTTTTACAGGGGTGCTTCCAGATGGGCCCCAGAGGCCTTTGTCTCTGGCCTCTCTGTTCACACCTTAGCAATCACGTGCCCCCCCCCCCCTCCTGATTCTTAAGGCCCCAGGCTTCTGCTTACCCATCCCAGTCCTGAGACTGAGCTCACCCTCATCTGGGAAAATCTCATTCTCCTCTTCCTCCAAGTCTCTTTTAAAAATGTTTTTGTTGATTTCAGAGAGGAAGGGAGAGGCAGAGACAGATAGAAACATCAATGATGAGAGAGAATCATTGATCGGCTGCCTCCTGCACGCCCCACACTGGGGATCGAGCCCACAACCCGTCATGTGCCCTGATGGGAATGGAACGGTGACCTCCTGGCCTCCTGGTTCATAGGTCAATGCTCAACCACTGAGCCCCCACAGCAGGCCCTCTGGGGCTCTTACATGTCTACCCCTGCAGGGCCCAGGAAATGCTGATGGGTTATTCCCATCTCTACCACTATCCAAGTGACCTCCCATGCCTACCTCCATCTTTGCCAGCTGACCCCCACCTCTGGGAGCCTTGGACTTGGGACCTACGGCCCTGGGCTTGAGTCTAGCACCACCACTTAGAAGCTGCAGACCTTAGTCAAGTCCCTGAGCTGAGGTCTCCTTACCTGTGCAAGAGGACTTGGCAGCAAGCACCTCACTGAGCAGGTGAGGGCATGCCGTGACACTGCGTATGAAGCGGTCTCCACCATTGAGCAATAAACAGTATAGACCCTGGAGCCAGACTGCCTGGGTTCAGACCTCAGCTCCCTTGCATAATAGCTCTTTGACTTTAGGCAAATTGCATAGCCTATCCAAGCCTCGGTTTCCTCATCTGTAAAATGGGGGTAATCGTTAACTACCTCACTGGGTCATTATGAGGTGTTTGTAAAGTACTCAGAGCAGCCTGTCCGCTGGTGTTTGCAGTTATTATTGTGGTGTTTGTTCCTGCCTCTGCTGCAGTGCCCACCCAACCTCACTGCTGCCTCTGCTTCTCCCCCTGGGGATAGTCAGGCACAGCTGGAGCAGATGTGCCCCCTCCTCCTGTCGGGACGGACCAGTGCTCCCCTCCAGCCCCTCACCTGGGTGGTGGTGTAGGCGTCTCCGTTGCGGTATCGAGTGACCTGGCGGGTGCGGCGGACATAGTGGTAGCTGATGGCCTTCCACCAGATGCAGGGCGTGGCCTGCTGCATGCGGCCCACACGCTCCCGGACGCTGGTTACGTCAACACGGTGCTGCAGCTCGTGGCGGGCCTGGCAGTGCCAGCACTCCACCAGGTAGACAGCGTACAGCATGAGCAGGAAGGCCAGGGGGATGTAGACATAGCCGTTGGAGCAGGGGCTGTCATGGTACATGAGGCTGTTGCCCTGATAGGCGCTGCTGAAGGTGAGGCGGGTCACCGTGGTGACGTGGCACCAAGCCACGGCCCCCAGGCAGCCGTACATGAGCAGGGAGAGCAGCAGGCACTTCCAGTGGGACTCACGGCAGAGGGACTTGGTGAAAGAGGGCTGGATGGGACGCTGCTGCTCGGAGGGACAGGAAGAGGGGCCAGGACGAGAAGGAAGCGGGACAGTGTGGCAGGACCCAGAACAGAGATGGATGCAGGGATGGCGGGGCAGAGGCCAGCATCAGAGATGACAGGCAGAGAGCGACAGGGATACGGAGAGAACATGGAAGACCGAGAGGGGAGCCAAGGACCAGAGGTAAACACAGAAGTGAGCCGTGGGGACAGGAAAAGGGAGCAGAATGCCAATACAGGGAAGTGCAAAGAGACAGACGCCCCAAGAAGCAGGAAGAGATCAGCGCCAGAGATGGAGGGAGGAGGCCCAGGTGGCAAACACAGATGGATAGGATGGCACCCAGAGAAACAGAGTCCAAGGACAGATGCAGAGGCGGCCGTGAAGCAGGAGAAAGTGGACGGGGAAGACAGGGGAGGACAGACAGGCGTCAGCGAAGGCGGCTCCCCAGCCCAGCCCCCTCCCAGATGCCTCACTGACACCACCTTCCCACTCAGCGGCGGGGCCCTCACTTCCAGACGTTTGGTCCTACGATCTGGGCAGCCCCTCCTCTCTGGCCCATCCACCTCCACGTCCCTCACAGACAATGAGCCTCCCACCTCCTTTGGGGGAGGCCCCAGGCCCTGTATCCTCCCCCATGCTCTGCACCCAGGCCCTCTGTGCGTCTCCCTCTTACACCCTAACAGCCTCCCCCTGTTCTAAGATGGGGGGGGGGGGGGGGCTGGTGTCCCTGCACAAAAGGCAGTCTTGGAGGAGATATCTAGAAGGGCAGAGGCATGGAGGGCAGAGGGGAGGGGATGTAAACCCAGGGCTGGAGGTAGGAAGGAAGACATTTGCAGCTCAGTCATTTGTCAAGAGAGAGTAGTTTTGGGTCCTCTCCGGGGGCCTGTTTGACTGTCAAAGCACTTGGTGAGTTCTGTCCCACAGTCAGCCCACTGACGTGTTTACATGTCTGGCTCTGCCACAGGGCCCCGACTCTGCATCCTGGCTGCCTACCACGGTGCTGGCACCCAACAGCCACTTAGTAGATAGGTATTGAGTTGGGTTTCTGGTGGTGCCGGGCTTCCCCAGTCCTCCTCCCCGCTGTCTCGCTTTGAGAACCTTGCACACACCCGCCTGATTCCCAGAGCCTGACCCGAGGGAGGGAGGAAGGATGGGAAAGAAGGCGACAGCTGTTACTATCTGGGGGCGGTGGGCCCTGACCTTGGTGTGAAATCAAAGGAAAGATCTGGACGTGCAGTGGGCTAGGAAACAGCACACAGCTTAAACAGACCGGGTTAGGGTCCGTGAATCTTTCGAGGAGCCTTGTCCTTGGGGTGTGTGCATCTGTGCCCCCTCCAGGGTGTGCACGTGTCCCAGCGGGAGCACTCCTGACAGGGACCCTCCCGGCAGGCCCCTCTGCCTGTGCTGCTGCCCTGGCCCCGTGTGTGCATGTGTGTGCACGGGAGATGGGGTGCTCCTGGCACTTCCCTTAGTCTCTTTGTCCCCGGGTTCAGAGGACTGAAGAGGAAGGCCTCCAAGTAGGGATATGCTTGGTCCCAGCGCTGTGCAGGATCCCTGGTCTCAGGGTCCCCTGGGCGGGGGATGCAGGAACAGTGGCAGAGAGAGGTGCACACCACCCTCCCCCCCCCCACACACACACACACATCACACACATCACATCCCAGTGACGGGCTGGGGGAAGGTATGGGGGAAGGTGGGTGTCGCCTCTCTGCACATTTGACCTTCTTGGCTCAGAGGATACCACTCTTTCCCCCTACTATTCTCCTGCCTCTGTAGCCCCCACACATCGCCCTTCCTGGCCTTCCAGATAGCATCCCCTCCGTGATACCGGATCCCCGCCACCGTCCCCACTCGGATCCGCCCGGGGTCCGCGAGGCCCCGCCCCCGGCCCCGCCCCCGGCCCGGGACCCCCAGCCCCGCCCCCGGCGCGGCCCCTTCCCCGCCACCAGCCACCACGGACAGCTCCGCCGCCGGGCGGGACCGGACCGCTCCGGGACTGCGGCGGCCGCGGCCGGGGTGCGGGGCGCCGGCCGCGCTGCGGCGGAACCGGCGGGGGCCGCGCGGGGGATGGGGGCCGGCTGCGGCCGCGCCCGGGGAAGGGGCGCCCCGGCTCTCACCTCCTCTCGGGCGGGGCCCTCGTCCGCCGCCGCCGCCGCCGCCGCCGGCTCCTCCGGGCCCCCGGGGCCGCCGCCGCCGCCGCCGCCGCCGGCGCTCTCTCCCGCGGCCGAGCCCGGGGGGGACATGGCGCAGAGGGGGCGCGTGGAGCTCAGGGCCTCCCGGGGGGCTGCCGGGGGCCCGGGGCATCCTGCGCGGGCCCGGGGGAGGGGGCGGGAGGGGGCGGGCCCTCGCTGCTCCCCACCCCCCGCGCGGGGGGAGGGGGCCTGTGAAGGGCACCGCGGGGAAGGGGCCGGGGTCGGGGGTGGGCAGGCGGGCCGGGGGGCCGGGCTGGGGGGGCCGGGGCCGGGGGCGGGTGTCACCTTGAGGCCCGCGCGGCGCCGCTCCGCCTCCCGCCCGCTCCCGCCGCCGCCTTTTGTCTGAGCCGAGCCGAAGCCAGCGCGCCCCCCCTCTTCCTCCCGGCGCAGGAGCCCCGCCCCCGGCCCCCCAAACTCCGCCTTCCCCAAGCCTGCCGAATGGCCACCCCCCAAAGAGGAGAAGCAACAGGGCTCCCCGCACCCCTTCCCCACTCCTAGCCCTGCTAACCATGCTTAGGCGCGGACACACACACACACACACACATACACACGCACATACACACATACACACACATACACTCACACACACATACACACACTCACACATACACACATATACACTTACTCACATGCACACACACATACACACACATACACTCACACATGCACATACACACACTCACATACACACACACACTCACACATACACACATATACATACACACACACTCCATACACACACACACTCACACACACACACACACTCATGCACACACACACACTCACACACACTCTCCAACCATCCTGGGAAGATCTATGAAAGGGCGTCTTGGAACCCAAGGCAGATTCTCACTCCCAGCTGGTGTGAAGGATGAGGCAGGAGCAGACCCCCCTGAGCCTCGGTGGAACAGGGCGGAGGGAAAGGACGGGGCTGTACTGAGAAAGAACTAACAGAGGGCAGAGAGGACACTGGAACCAGCCTGCACAGGCCATCTTCCTCCCCGAGAAGTACAGCCCCAGTGAAGCAAACAAGTGTGTACATTGTCCTCTGCTGGAGACCAGGACGCCAGAGTTCTGATTCTTTTTAAATCATCACCCAAGGATATCCTTTCCATTGAAACATCTATGAGAGAGAGACACACGTCGACTGGTTGCCTCCCGCACGCATGTATCCCAATCATGGTGGGGATTGAACCTGCAACCCAAGTACCTGCCCTTGACCAGGAATTGAACCCGCAGCCCTTTGGTCCATGGGCTGAGGCTCTAACCACTTAGCCACCGGCCAGGGCCCGAGTTCTAATTCTTCATCCTGGCTTTTCCACTAACAAGCGGTATGACCTTGGGCAAGTGCCTTCCCTTCTCTGAGCCTTAGTTCCCTCGTCTGTGCAGGGAGGAATCTGACCAGACAGTCTCTAAGGCTCTGACCTTCTCTGGGTGTAGGAGGCAAAAATCACAGACCGCAGGCCAGGCTGAGTGGCTGCAGGTGGCGTACCCCACTGTGCCATCCACCCACACTTCTCCCTGCCACGCCGCGGACAGGAGGAGAGGAGACGGACACCCCTTCATTTCTGAGAGCACCCATTCAATAAACAGGGATTAGGTGCCTACTGTGCGCCCCGTCCAGAAGCAAAACACGCAGTGTCCTCCCCTCCAGGAGCTCAGCCTAACGGGAAGCGGGGACCTGGAAATCAATCATTATGACAGAACGTGATCGATCTGTGTGCAGTCACTGTGGAATCCTACTGTGTGGCGTGTGCTGTATCGGAGTCTTTGACATAGAGTAGCTGTTTCCCCACTTACCTTTGGGAACTGAGGCAGAGGGGAGGTGAGTGACTTACTCCAGGTGATAGTCACACAGCTAGACTCTGGATCTTCCCCACTCAAAGTCCATGGGGCTGTCTGGGAGGAGGACGTTAGTGTGAGGCAAAGCCCGGATACCCGGTCTTTGGGGGTAGAGGACAAGCACACCGATCTGCCGGGGTCATCCTGCCACTCACTCTCCACACACTCACCCCTCCTCCTGGTCCTGCCTCCATCTTCCTACTGTTCCCTTCCCCGGCGAGGTGAGGGTGACTCTGTCTGCCAATTGCTTCAGATCTACCCGGCCTGCAGGACCCTCCCCGCCAGCGAGTCCATCTCCTTGCCCACACAGGGCAGGGTGTGCCCCTGGAGAGGCAGGGGTTCTCTTCCACTCCAAGGCAGAGGAGACATCTCACTTGGTGACTCATTCCAGTGTCTTGCACCCATGCTTTTCAGGAAGTCCTCCCTCACCACTAACGTTGACCTTTCTGGGTCTGGTTTTATCCCCTCCCACCTAGTTCAGTCCTCGCAGTAGACAGAGCAGAGGTCCTAACCCTGACCTTCCCTAACCCAGATAAAACCCTCACAATCCCCATGTAGTCGTTATACCCTTCCCCCTGTCCCCCACCTCCAGGGCCTTCCCTTTCTCAAGAGAGATAGCCCAACTCCTTTTGGCCAACACCAGAGCTCCTAAGAGATTAAAAACACACACACACACACCCAACCCTTCCCCCCCATTCACACACATTACATTTCCTTGACAGCCTGGGGAAAAGAGGGGTGAAGGGAGGGGGCTCAGAAGGAGCCAGCTGACCAGCTGGTCACCATGGCAACTGGGGCTGCATCCAGAAGATGAGCCTGGGTGCAGGCTGAGAGTGGGAGAACAACTAAGAGAACTAGAAAACATCAACAGATAAAGAGAAGATTCTACAAGAAGACTGGAGCAGAGGAAACAAAGTCAGGGCCCTGACCACACTGTGGCCCGAGTCAGAATTCTTTAGTCCAGATGATACTGCATGCTCCTTCTCGCCATTCCTGAAGTTTCCCCAGAAGGGCTTCCAGCCGGAGAGTAGGCTGGATGCTGGAAGCAGTGAGCGCCTCGATGCTGACCTCGTGTGGCCAGAAAAGGGACTGCCACACACCTGTTATGGTTCAGAGCCAGATATGGGGCTGAAAAGGAGTAGGTTTTTCCTTAAATCAACCTCTGTATTTGATGAGAGATGTGGTCACTGAACATTCCTGAGTTCTCCTGTCCTTGCAAAGGACTCATATGCCCCAAGCCCTGCAGGCATTATAGAGGGGAAAAATTAGAAAAGGTAAAAAACAAAACAAAAACATTCACTGAAAACAATTTTAAGCTTTGGATTAGGGGCAGGAGAGCCTGGCTCTGCACTTCATTTGATCTTAGGAAAGTCACCTCTCCCCACTGGGCCCCAGCTTCCCGACTTTAAAATGGGAATAGTTCCAGATATTTAACCCAAGTGGTCTGGGTCTGGAGTTTATGACTATACTTTTGCTCCAGCTTTTGAGGATGGGAGAGGGAAATGTCAGGGGAAGAAGCTGAAAACATCTGACATGGCTTCTCACAGCCTCATACTCAGCAAATTCTCCCTCTCAGGTCCTCCAGGGGGGCGGAGAGGAGTAGGTCATCTCCTCTCATCTGCTCTCCCACCCACCCCCACCCATCTCCTCTTATTACTAATCCCCTCCTCCCAGAGACTAGGTACTTCTCTGCTCCCCAACCTCTTTCCTCCCCATTTCCAGTTCAAATGGAAACTTCCCTGCCCCTCTCCTCACTGTGTGCCCCCTCACCACCCTCTTCTCACTCCTGTCTTCTCACAATCACTGTGTTGTAATTGCCATGGGGGCTTGGTGGATATTAATTACTGTTACTGTGTGGTCCTCAGTTTTGCTTCCAGCAGAGAGAACAGTGTCACACATGTAGGACAAGCTCCACATGTTTGTCAAATGGATGAATAAGATGAGGTTGCATGGGAGAAGGCAGTAGGGAAGCTAGTTAGTAGCTGTCTACACTCAGCGCAGCGTTCTTCCCCCAATGCCAGAGAGAGAAAAGACACTCCTTTGGGATAATCTTCCAAATGCACTGTTGGCCCATGGTCGGTGGCACTTGGGGTAGGGGTAAGTCAGGAGGCACTAGTTTGCACCTCAACATGTGGGTACGGTTTGCCTAAGGCCTCCCTGAGCCCAGGGGAAGAAGAGAGAGGGGAGGAGGAAAGATGTGTTGGCACTGGAGCTGGAGCTGAGTGTGGCCCAATGTGTCTGGGGCCTCCCCATCCTGGCCCCGCCATGAGGAAGTAATCTTCCCTGGTAGATGGGGGTAACCAAGTGTTGCAACCACAAAGACCAGTGTTTCACCCCTGGAAAGAATGACCACTCTGCTTTTTAATTTTTTTAAATATATTTTTATTGATTTCAGAGAGGAAGGGAGAGGGAGAGAGATAGAAACATCCATGATGAGAGAGAATCACTGATCAGCTGCCTCCTTCCTGCATGAGCCTGCAACCTAGGCATGTGCCCCAACCAGGAACTGAACCATGATCTCCTGGTTCATAGGTCGATGCTCAGCCACTGAGCCACAGCAGTGAGTGCACTCTGCTTTTTTCAGACAACAAAAAGAGCATGACCAACCTCCTTCGTTTAGACAACAGTCTGCCTGAGAAAACCCAGTTTTGAAAAGCACATCCTCATGCCCAATTCTCTGTGATCTGAGAAGTTGACATAGGAGACCCTCAACCCAGGACCCAAAGGGAGAATCACTAACCTTTAAAGACAATGGAGCCCTAGCCGGTTTGGCTCAGTAGATAGAGCGTCGGCCTGCGGACTGAAAGGTCCCAGGTTCGATTCCGGTCAAGGGCATGTGCCTTGGTTTCGGGTACATCCCCAGTGAGGGTGTGCAAGAGGTAGCTGATCGATGATTCTCTCTCATCGATATTTCTAACTCTCTATCCCTCTCCCTTCCTCTCTGTAAAGAAAATCAATAAAATATATTTTAAAAAACAAATAAAATAAAGACAATGGATATCCCCTTTCCCTACCCAAACTTCCGGGCACTGGTAAATGAGAAAGCAAGAGAAATGGAAATGGGTAGGAGACAGGAAGCAGTGCCTCCCATCCCACCAACCACATGCCTGCTCCCACAAGATGTCTAATTTGTACAATTAATACATATTTCTTTAACACACGAATGAATAAATGAATGGGAACAATGAGTGGATAAATGGAGGAAGTGAAGGAAGGAAAGGATGCATGGGTTCAAGAATGGAAAAGAGCTGAAACCGGTTTGGCTCAGTGGATAGAGCGTCGGCCTGCAGACTGAAAGGTTCCAGGTTCGATTCAGGTCAAGGGCATGTACCTTGGTTGCGGGTACATCCCCAGTAGGGGGTGTGCAAAAGGCAGTTGATCCATGATTCTCTCTCATCGATGTTTCTAACTCTCTATCCCTCTCTCTTCAATTCTGTAAAATATTAATAAAAATATATATTTTTTAAAAGAATGGAAAAGAGGGGGGAGGGAGTGAATGAAT